ACACTTGATTAAGCCTCAGGACTTAGAAAGATCATTTCCTCGAACACTAATTTGAGCAAAATCTGGATGCAGAATGTGGGTTTACACGCCCAGCTCGAATGTCTAATGTATCAAATCCTCGTTAACGAACGGCCCGCTCCGTGGCCGTGTCAGCCAAAGGTCAGCCCCGTGCAACAGGGCAGCGTGGTTCAAAAGCCCCCCTCCAGCGCCCCGCCTCCCCTCCCCCCAAAAATCCATCTTTCACATTTCAATAATAGAGCACATGGAGCTCCAACGAGAAATGCCAAGGTTGTTTTTCTTTTTTTCCTTCTTTCTTCACGTTAGTGCCATGTAAACGATGTGTCCTAAGGCAACTACTGAAAAATTGAGTTTATTTTTTTCCAGTGTGAAGGGAGTGGGGTTAGAGGACAAGGAAACTATCAAAATGTCCTCAAGAGGCACGAATATTTGAGAAGCTGTGAATCTTAGACATCTTAAAACAGTAATAACAACAATAATTTCACAGCATTCAAGTGGAAACCATGACTAAACTTTGTTAGAGACCTTAGTTAGTGATTAGAAACTGCTTAGGAAGGGGCAATTTCATCCTCCGCAGCACCCCCCCCCCCACCTCCCCGTTAGAGCCCAGCATAAAGCTTATTCTTAAAAGACAGCTTGTGTGTCTGCAGGGCCGAAGAGAAGACAGGACAGCGAGGCTGCACCCTTTTTGCTCGCTGCTCACTAGGGAGCCCCGCCACATTTCTGACTGCCCTGGGTTTCGGGGTTCATCCCTTCCACGGCACGGGCCGGCCCGCGCGGCTGCTGCACATTAGCCTAACTTCTGTGCGCGCCTCAGGCCACATCACTCACGCAGTCTCGGCCGCCGGGAGGGTGGCAGGGCACGGTAGGGAAAGAATGCGACTTACCAGGTCTAGGGGCTAGATTCGAGCAAGCTTGGCCGGGTAGATAGAGTCAGTCCTACCGGAGACCNTCGAGAAAATCACTTCACTATCACCTGTGGAATTCCTTTATAAAAACAGTGATTTTTTTTTTCCCTTTGCAGTAAAGAGCCCCAAAGAGAATTTGCCTCACAATAACCCTGTTCTGCCCTGTATTTATTCAGCAATGCTCCTCAGAGGAAGGATTTCAGAAACGTATTAGAACGAGAACCAAGAACTGGTGTGATTTTGAAGAAGTTATTGCTGCCTAAAATTCCATGTTGAGCTAGTTATTATAAGTGTAACTCATTTAAAAACAAAAGAAAAAGAAAAACTGCTTTTAATGTTGCAAATGAAAGGTTGCGTTACTGATGCCGCATTGCACCGTTCATTTATCTTGGCCCTATCGGTGTGTGGCGTTTTCTTCTTCTTCTTGCTTTTTACTTAACAAGAACAATAATGATATCAGATTTCAGGCGGAGGTTGTTACCAAACGGAAAGGACGGTATGAACAAACCAGATCCAGCTTTAGGAAGCAATACCCGCCTCGACTGATGGAGATGATGGAGCCCTTCGTGCTTGAATCTGTGTGGACGTTGCAGCGGTGCGATTCCCACATGAACAAACGTTGGCACTTCACCAAGAATTTCCCAAACTAGGTGTCAAGCGTGGAGCTCATACCTACAGATGAGTGGACCCGAGGGGCAGAGCTGGAGGGAAGAGGGTGAGAAGTTGATAACGACACTTTGAGAAACGGAATTGGTGCTTCTCGTCCCATTTCCCTTTTCTTTTCCTGCCCCCCCCCCGGGGGGGATATATATATACACACACAGGTACACACACACATATATGTATGTATGTATGTATGTATGTATATCACCTGCCGCCTGAATTGCCTGAGCTCTCTTTGCAGCGTTTAGTTCCTGATCATTGATCCTGCACGCGCGGGCGCCTGGGCCGGGGCTCGGGTTCCGGCCACCAGCGCCCCTGACGTCAGCGGCCAGGCTGCCTGCGTCAGGTCCCTAACAGCCCCCGGGTGGCCTGGACAAGAACTGTGGGGGAGGCGGGGAGGGAGACCCGGACAAAGCCAGATGAAAGTCCAGAAGGGGCGAAAGGGGCTTCCCCCGCGCCCGCCAGAAAGTCCTGTCGCTCTTAGAATGGCAGCGTTTGCAGCTTCGGGGGACTGGCGGGCACCCCAGACTGCGACCGGGTCTGGAGGCTCAGACCCGGGTGCCGGCTCCTGGGGCTGGACGAGGGTGGGGGTTCTAGAGAAAAGGGCGAGAGAGAAACGCAGGGCAAGTCTGGGAGTTGGTTGTTAGCGCTTCTTTCCTTCTACTCATATAAAAGTCATCACTTTTTAAAACTGAATCCACAAATGTGGACCTTAAAAAGAACTGGACCCGCCGTTTCTACCTTAACTTGACATAACTGGGAAGTTGGCTCTCCGGGGAGTTTGGCGCCCGTGCGCTGGTCGCTGGAGAGCGCAGCCTGGCGAACGAGGCTGCTGGGACCGGCCCCTGGCAGGGACGAACTCCACTTCGCAGTTAACCAGCCACAACTTTTCTTTCCTCCTCCCTCTCGCCCTTCCCAGACCTGTCCTTCTTTCCCCACTCTTCTCCCCACCCTTAGACCAGATTTTATAACCCTTGCACGCTGGGGAGTTCTCAAGACGATGGGAAGGTTTGATATTCCGAAGGGAACCTCTGCCTCCATCGTCCAGAAAAGTGTGTTCGCCCCTAGCCTATGTCCTAAGGGTCGGACACCCGAGTCTGGGGAGTCACTGGCCTGTGCTTGGGACGGAGTCTACAGAATTCGGTCTGGAACAAGCCCTGTAGTTCCCCTGGGCACTATCCTGCTGTCTGGATTTCTTCAGCGTAGGCTTTTGGAGAATTTCTCTCCACTAGAAGGTTCTTTTGTTTGTTTTGCATTATAGTAGTTGCCTTTCTCGTTTAATTTTCTATCTTTTCTTCTACAACCGAAGCACAGGAGAAGTGGAGGCAGAGGCTCCCTGAGCGACAATGTGAGGCCGAAAACTGCTTCTTGTATCTTTTCTCTTGGAACAAATTCGGGTCCCAGGAACCGCCCCTGCGCGGCCCCAGACAAACACGACAGCGAAAGACAACTCTCAGGTGCGGACAACGGCTGCTGCTGCTGCGGTCCCCTGCCCAGGACAGCAGCGGAAGGAAGTCAGCGGTTGGAGGGCGAAGGGGCACAGAGCAAAAACACGGTTTCGCCTGGTCCTCCCGCTTCCACTCTGAGTGTGGCCGGGTACTCGGGAAGGAACTTATTTTTCCCCCTTTCCAATAGAGAGCAGTGAGCGGGCTCTGTCATTCCGGGAAAAAGAAGAAAATCATTTTCTGGGGGTGCGTTTTTAGAAGTTAGAGCTTTAATGACAACTTAAATAAAAGTCAATAAATACCGCGGAAGCCACCGAACCCTCCAAGCAAGTGCCCTTCCAGGCTCGTTCACAGCGACGTCTCCAACTGCAGCCTCGTCTGTGAGGCCGGGGCGCTGCAGGTTCGGCTGGGTGTGCCAGGCCTTCCCTTTCTGGGCTCCAAAGTCTGCGGACAAGTCGAACCTAACTGAATTGAGGCACGTCAACTTTTAAAAGGCTTTAAAACCTGTGACTATTCCCTTCATGTATGCTCCACTGCCTGGCAGATATAAATTGTCACACTCTAGTATCTCCAGCAAGTAAAACAGAAAAAAAAAAAAAAAATACATGTGTGACTCTCCAAAAAGTATTGCCATATCTGTGACACTGCCTTCACAGCCTTGTCTGGTGTTAGGATTTCACAGTTCAGAATTCATTAGAAGGAGATGATCTGCCTTATTTATAAGCATTTCCTCAAAGTGGTGGCATGGAGGATTTAGAAATTATTTAAAGAAGTTTTGTTGTTGTTGTTGTTGTTGTTTTTGTCGTTGTTTTTAAGATGTAGAAATGTGTCTTTTACCAGGTGTCCTTCGCTGCCCTTTTCAGGCAGCTATCGGCCCGTCTGACACTTGATTAAGCCTCAGGACTTAGAAAGATCATTTCCTCGAACACTAATTTGAGCAAAATCTGGATGCAGAATGTGGGTTTACACGCCCAGCTCGAATGTCTAATGTATCAAATCCTCGTTAACGAACGGCCCGCTCCGTGGCCGTGTCAGCCAAAGGTCAGCCCCGTGCAACAGGGCAGCGTGGTTCAAAAGCCCCCCTCCAGCGCCCCGCCTCCCCTCCCCCCAAAAATCCATCTTTCACATTTCAATAATAGAGCACATGGAGCTCCAACGAGAAATGCCAAGGTTGTTTTTCTTTTTTTCCTTCTTTCTTCACGTTAGTGCCATGTAAACGATGTGTCCTAAGGCAACTACTGAAAAATTGAGTTTATTTTTTTCCAGTGTGAAGGGAGTGGGGTTAGAGGACAAGGAAACTATCAAAATGTCCTCAAGAGGCACGAATATTTGAGAAGCTGTGAATCTTAGACATCTTAAAACAGTAATAACAACAATAATTTCACAGCATTCAAGTGGAAACCATGACTAAACTTTGTTAGAGACCTTAGTTAGTGATTAGAAACTGCTTAGGAAGGGGCAATTTCATCCTCCGCACCCCCCCCCCCCCCACCTCCCCGTTAGAGCCCAGCATAAAGCTTATTCTTAAAAGACAGCTTGTGTGTCTGCAGGGCCGAAGAGAAGACAGGACAGCGAGGCTGCACCCTTTTTGCTCGCTGCTCACTAGGGAGCCCCGCCACATTTCTGACTGCCCTGGGTTTCGGGGTTCATCCCTTCCACGGCACGGGCCGGACCGCGCGGCTGCTGCACATTAGCCTAACTTCTGTGCGCGCCTCAGGCCACATCACTCACGCAGTCTCGGCCGCCAGGAGGGTGGCAGGGCACGGTAGGGAAAGAATGCGACTTACCAGGTCTAGGGGCTAGATTCGAGCAAGCTTGGCCGGGCAGATAGAGTCAGTCCTACCGGAGACCGGCAATTTGGGCAGGGGCTAAGGAGCAAGTGGGGGGAAGAAAAGCGCCTTTGCCGTTTGGGGTCCCCCTTGCCTTGGCCCCAGCATGCGCCCCCTGCCGCCGCCACCTCCACAGACTAAGCTCGGCCTGGCCCGGGGAAGTCCCAGAACCTGCCTCGCCGCCTTCGAGACACAGCCTCCTGGTGTGCCGGGCTCTGACGACGACCCCGGGGACGCCCAGGGGTGGGGGCGGGCGGGGAAGGGGTGACCCCACCCCCTAGCCCGGGACAGGGTAGCCGCTTTGACAACCCGGACCTGGCGGCCAAACCGAGCAGCCGGACAAGTCCACTGCGCCCGGCCGACCGCGGGCTTGCAGACCCCGACCCGCTCCCGTCCCCGCCCCTCCCTCCCCGCAAGCCCCGGGCCAAATGAAAAGGGTTCTTTGGGCCTCGGTCTTTGGGGAAGACGCGGGAACACACGCTGGGCTGGAGCTTTCTGCGCAGAGCGAGTCCCAGACAGGTCTTCATTAGCCTGGTGACCGTGGAGTCTAGATACCGCCACCCCCATATTCAAACACAAAAGGACCCAAATCGTGAAGGGCTTCCTTTTGGGGTGGCTTCTGTGGCGAAGTGGTGGAAGAAGAGGTTCTACGCCCTTGACCAGACTCTAGGCTTTCTGGCCTATGGTAGCCTCAGGAGAACGTGAACCCTCGTGCCCCTGTCCTTTCCTCCCAGTCACTGGGTGGGGGACAGGGAGCAGAGGCCCGACCTCCGTGGGCCTAGCGCTCGGCTGCGGTGGGCGAGGGGCGATGAGGTGGGCAAAGGGGCCCACAGCAAACGCTCTTTTCCGACCACCCCAGCGTTATTGAGTCTTGGAGGCATGGGTAGGAAGAAAGGCCTTGTCCTGTGAGAAACGTTTCCAACACCCCACCCCCCAGGTTCAAAGCTGAAGACTTGGCTCGTGGTGGATGTCGGCTAGAAACATGTTATGGCCCCCTTCCCCGTCCGTAACAGCACAGGTGGAGCCGGTTCTGGGTTAGACTGCAGTGTGAACTGGGCGGTGACCCGAGGCCTCTCCCCATGGCAGTGGGGGACGTGAAAGGCTGCGTGAGATGGTACACCTGCCTAGTTGAAAGTAAAATCCAGAGGAGGATGGGAACCTGTCGGCAGCCATTTCTGACGTCACAGGACCCGGAATTTTGATTAGAACATCCAAAGGCATAACTCTCTGAACGTCGGTCGGAGGACAGAGTGACTTAGGGACCCTCCACTGCCCCTCCCCTTAGTTTACTAGTGCTGACTACTCCACCAGACAGGTTATGCGCTCGCTCTGGAGAGGTCAGTGCATTGGCCACAGAATACCAGGCAGTGTACAGAACGCCCAGAACTTCACCAGGAGAGGGAAACAATCATCCAGCGCCTGAACCCCGGCTGCTCTCGTCGAACCCTATACTCTCCTGTCCCTAGTCCAGGGCAGTTCCTTCACCGATCACCACGTTTTCACCACCCAAGCATGTTTGATCTTAGGACTTTCTCAGCTCGAAGCCGACTGGTGTTATTTGGGAAGTGTGAGTGAAAACCCTAGCGCAGCCGATAAAGGAAACAGCTCATAGTGCCCAAAATGGGGCCATCGTGGGCTGGGACAGAGCCAGAGAGGAGTGGGAGAGAGAGAGGCAGAGAGACAAAGACAGGCTGACACCCAGACCTACATCTGGGCGAGGGAAACCCCCGGCGCGGCCCTCGAGCCTGGGCTCTGTCCAGGGGCCAGGTGAGTCCAGGGGACGTGTCGGAGCAGCTAAGAGAGATGAGAACAGCCAGGGTGCCAGCTCCCCACTTATGAGGGGACGGGAAGAGAGGGAATCCTCAGTAGACACCGCGTGAACCAGGAGCCCAGCCAGTCGCGGCACAGACTTGTTGCCCTCGGGGGGTCGCGCACGCCGCAGCTCCTAGCCCCTAGGGAAGGGGACGTCCTGCCGGCCCGCTCGGCTCTATGTTCCCATGGCAGCGGCCGCAGGTTGCTGCAGCTTCTGCTCTCTGCTCGGTACTGTGAACTCACTTAAACCAGCGCGGCTTGAAAACAAATACGTGCAGCTTCCCCGCCGCACTATTTTGGGAGCCCGGCCAGCGACGTTCACAGGCCTGAGCCTCTGCGCTGTTCCGCCGCGAGGGCTGGGGCGCTTATGCATATTCATCAGCACGTGGAACCGCGGGCCACGGGCCGCGCATGCGCCTTGCCTGCCCTGCGCGGCCCCGCCGGCGGCGGCGATGATCTGCAAAACGCCCCGCCGGTCTGCTGGGTGGCGCGGAGGCACCTCAAACGCTGGCTGCCCGGCCTTTTGTGGAGGTGCTGTGGAGGAGTCTTGCTTCTAAACCCACCCCCACCCCCTCCTCACACACCTCCCACACACCCACTCCCTAAGCCTGTGTTTCCATAGTTTCAAGAAATCATCCAGGGCAGAAATGTCCCTTTACGTATACCCACCCCGCCCCTGTCCTTTCTCGTGGTTTTACCTTCCTCCACAACTTGCAGTTTTCATTCAGAAGCTAGGATTTTCCCGAGTGGACAGAAAAAAATTTAAGGAATCGCGATGTGAGCTTTTCTCACCTTGTTTACGTCCCTGTTTTTTGTAGCTTAATGGGAATTGTTACACAAAAGACATTTAAAATACGTATATTTTTTAAGTTTACTAAGGTCGCATGTGTTCGAATGTGTGGTTTTTCTTGTTTCTAAAGATATGATTCCGATTATTTTTACCCATGTTAAATAGTTGATACTTGTGTATGCTGTGGGTGAAAATGTCACTGTGGGACTTTCACAACCCTTGTATTCTACATATGCTTACAGAAATGCTCAACAACCATCGGAGGCAGCCAAAATATTGTGGATTGTTGACAGACAGTCCTAAGTCTCTGGCATCTCCACAGCTAAATGCTAAATGTCACTTCTATGCTAGATAGCTAAATCTGATTTCTTCATCTTGCAAAATTCACCTCTTGTATAGAATCATCTGGAAACTTCATACTGTTTAGTCACTCTAAAGTGGAAATCAATCTTAGGACCTTATGGTAGATTCCAGCTTGTATGGTAAAAATAGCCTCTGGTTTGGTCTGATGTGTTTCCTCTTGCTAAGGGAGAGTCTGGAGCGAACCAGCCTTGCATAGATTAAAGGAGAACATTGTACATATTTTGTTCTTATTATACCATTACACTTGTAATGAACTTTGAGAAAGAAGCTTAAATGTGATCTGTTATAACAGGTTATTAACATTTTTCTTATTTCTTGCCCCAAACTAGTAGTTATCATTTGGGAAAAAAAAAAAAT